ACTGAATTTGTCTCTCAGCATGCTGCTTTTCATATTCCATACCCCTCCTTCTAAGTCTAATTTCCTTACCTTATCTTTTTCTGGTGAGGAGGATCCAGAGTTGCTTCTCAGAGCAGACTTGAGGTGTAGATCCCTCCAAGGGCTGATACACATTGATGTGTACCTCTCACTGAATTTGGCTGTTATTACTCAGTATTTTGTAACCTGGACTGAGTTCCTAAATTCTGATTTCTTACCCCGTCTCTTTTCAACTACATACGTATGTCAGGTACAAAAATGACAGGTCTCATTATTTTAATTGGCACCTGCAAAGGCCTATAGGTTTGTTGACTGATGTAAAATTGATGAGCTTATGCTGATCTTTACTGATTCACGTGTCATAATTTGCCATTAGTGTGAGCGTAGTAGCAGAGACTCGCTGTCAGACTCCTTCGCTTGAAGCAGCCTTTAGAAGATCAGTCATATCTATTGTTTTCTCAGGTCTGTAGTTTGTATGTTTGTCAACAGTGTTAATGAAACATTACAAGAGAGTTTTACTATGTTTGGCTTACTTTTTTTTTTCCCAGGCACATATGTAATTTGTAAAAATGAAATGCAATGTTGGTTTTTACAGACGATACAGTATTTCTGCATTGTAAGCATTAGACTAATTAATGCATTTAGTTCAACAGGTCCATAAATACCTGTTGTCCCTGTTCACATTTATATGTATGCAGGCAGATTTTCTGCAACAGCTGGTATAAGCTATACCTTAGAAAAATAGTTTTACTGTTCATTTATCCTACAAGACGTTTTTCTGACTAACTTCCATATGCAGAGATTTTAAAGATGCAATGAGCTGATAAGTTTTTCAAAAGCTTATATAAGAGTTCTCAAACACATTGGACATTGCAAATGTGCTGCTATTTAGAGGATAAGTATTCTGTGGGATATGCTACAGGAAAGCATATTTGACATCCAAAGATAGACATCAAAGCCTATTTTTATTACAGCTCTTCACAACAGGAGAGACACAGTGGCTCATTCTAATTTATGGCTGTTGTATTTTGGCACCATCTGAAAGAAGCTGATAATTATATTCCTACAAGAGCTGTTCTTCATACTGCAGAAGAAAAAAATAAAAACAACAAACAACTAAAACCAAAATACAACTCAAACTTCTGCTTTGGTCAGTTGTTACTACCTGGCACTGTTTCTGCCATTCTTCAAAGGCTGTGCAATAACCTGGGAAGCAGACTGAAGAGTTCTACCTGTCCTGCAGGCTGTCTTGCCAGCAGACACGTTACAATGAGGCATATTCGCTTCTCCGTGAAGAAAACAGAAGTCTTTTATTTCTAAAACTGTCACTTCAGTTTAGTGTAAATAAAATACGAAGGACAGAAATAGCAAATAAAATTTGAGAAGGTTTAAAGAACACCAGTCATTTGATTATTTTTTTAATTATTGTTACTATTTTATTTCATTATTATTATTAATTTGGATAGTCCTGCCTAGTTATGCTAGTTCCTTGACAAAGTGTAATTTTTTTTTCCTTTATTCCTTAGAAACTTAATAGGATCTTGCATGTATCATCCTTAGATTAAAATATGTGAAAGTTAGTTGTTCTATAAATCTGCAGAAAATCAGTCTAATCTCATTGTTCCTACTGAAGATCTTGTGCCCAACACCCTATTTTTCATATTTATAACTAGCAATCCCTGACTAATTTTTGAGGAGGATTTTTTGCATCTCATATCTAAGAGAGCATTTTAGAAGGACTTTGGAAAAGGAACGTTTTATTTTATTTTCTACTCAAGAGGAAGAGAACTGGAGCCTGGTTATTGATTAGATGTGTTGAAGCGTGCTGACGTAGAAGGTCCAAGTATGGCTTTTCTCTTCACTTAAGCATAAGGACAAAATATTTAGTGCTTCTTAAAATAGGATCCACATTTACTCTAAGGATGAAACCTTGAAAAAAAGAAAGCTTCTTCCATTCCCACTTTTCATAGGAAAATTGGAAATCTTGTTCTTATGGGTGTCTTCATGTAGTTCAGTCAGGCAACTGGGATACATGTTCTTCGTGCTGTCACTGCAAGGCAAGTACAACAAACAAAATGATTGCCATATTCTGCCATGAAAATGATTTCTAACTAAACAGCTGTAACTAAGAAGGTTTTATTACGTTATTACACATAAGCGCCAAACTGCAGTTGCAGCAGAGTTCAGCTCCTGGCAAAAGTGGTTGCCTTCATACTGACATCAACATGGGCTCCAGAGGCAAATTACCATGACAATGACTTGAAATTTCCACTTTCTCCTTTATACATGTTACAGATTAGCTGCCCAAAGTGGACAGTTCATGTTCTTTTACACAGAGAAAAACCTCCAGTTATTGAACTCAAGGTATAGGAAAGAAAGCTCTGTCTTGCTATAGTTTTCCTACACTTCTTTGAATAAACAGTGCTTCATGCAGGAGATGAGCCTTACTTGCAGAGTTTGTCTCTAATTTTTCAGTGTGAAAGTCACAGCAGCAAGGAGATCGATATCTGCAAATAACTTGTCAGTCTTTGTTGGTAAGGAAAAAGGTGGACTGGCATCTGTGTTGTTTCACTCTCTTCTTTTGGGCCTGATTTTGTTCAAGGGGCTTCAGTCACTGCTGGTTTTCTGTATCTAAGATTACTATCTTTGTACTTTCTTCTGCCCCTTTTCTCCCTTTTCCTTCGGTAAGATAATACATATATTTTATATATTATTTTCTTCTATATATTAAATCTCTTTTTTAGGAAGTTCACTACTAAATAACCAAATTGTGACATTTATAGGAGCTTTCCTTTGACTTCTCTTAACATGCTATTTCTGTTTCAACCCTCATTTGCTCC